GCTAACGCTGGTGGTACAATAACCATTTCACCATCTTATCTAGACAACAAGGAAAAACTTATTTCATAATGCTCTAGACAGATAAACCTGAAAATCCTCTTCTTACTTGTCTTACTTCTCAGATATCATATAGCTCATGATCTTGTCCTAGGTCTGCTTATCACTCAAAACTTCCTCCCTAATCACATTGAAACCTTGTTATTACCAGGGCACAGGCAGTTTATCTAACCTTGAAACTATGACGGCATGTTTTGGTGAAAATGACTCAAGATTGGATCAAGTTACGTAATTGCACTTTGACTCTTCTGTGACAGCAACTGTGGGGCCTTGGTGCAATAACTTGCTTTAGGGCTATTGGAAGTAGTTTGGGGAGTTGAAAATACGCACAAAAGTTAATAATGACCCACATTCGTATTTCTCTACCCATACATCTCACTTACCATCTAAGGCCACATTCACAACTAAAGTTGATCTGCAGACTAACTGATTCGCAGATCAAATAATGCCAACCCACTTGAAAGCTTGCCATATTATCTATTTAGTGTCTATGAGGGGATTTTGCGGCAATCTTTCAAGTGGGTCGGCCATATTTGATTAACTTATCTGTTAGTCCACGGATCAACTGGTTGTGAATGCGGCCTTATTGTATAATGTGAATGCTACTCACTTCCTACAGGTCTTAGCTTTGGCATTCCACCAGCAAATAAGCCGCCTAATCCGGAAGGTGCTCCACCCCCAAAACCTCCACCTCCTCCTCCTCCTCCTCCTGGTCCACCACTGCCTCCGCCTGAGTTTGATTGGCTGGCTGTAATAGAGGTTAATGTCACACAATGTTAAAATTAAAGACAATTAGAAAATTATTTTAAAATGTGAAATTGTTTTTTAAGGCTGAGTGCAATGTAATAGGCATGCATGAATGGTGTTACTGTATAAAATAAATATCAGCTGACACAGTAATGTAACACCCCGACATTTTAGACCATAAAGGACAACCCTCCTTACAAGGGAGACATTATCATTCACATTAAACTTTAAACACTTCTTTCTTGTATGTGCAAAAATTACAGGTTAGACTGTGTGAATATAAAATGTGCAGCAGTTTACATTTTTGTACAATACTTCTAAGATTGAGTAATACAACTTTGATATCAATATTACCCATTAAATACTAAGACTGTTACAAACTACTAACTAATTTGAAATGACGGTTAATGGTGATGTTTCTGATTTCCAGAACACTTCTTTTTCACAAGTATATACTGTTAGTGAAATATATAATGACATATCTAGCAAGCATGCAAGCTTGATTAATACACCCATGCATCGTACTGGTTAAGCCCATCTATCTACTTTTCTCTAATGACAGCATTATATAAAGAAAGCAAAGCCAAATTCTGAAAAGCATTTCATTGAACAAAATTCTGTGCATCACGAGGCCCACCATCTAAAATGGAAAATGAAAAAAAAAATCATAAAAAATATGTCATGTTAACTTATAATAAGCACTTCATTTTCTTCTTCAAATCTGGAATAACAAATGCAACCAGTATTTTACTTAGTATTTATTAATTAAAAAATTGATTCTCAATATTCTTAAAAAGGGGTTTAACTGTCTAAGCTTTTTACTCCTGCCGTGTTTCCAGATAATTTGGATCTGCCCAACTTGATATTACCCATCACATCACCATAGAGGAAGCCAATCATATCAATTGAAACGGTCTACGTAGAGTGATCCAAAATTGCAAGAACTCTGGCTGAATGCAAGGGCACGCCTCCCTTTGGTATTAGTTAAATACAGAAAATTTGGTGATTATTGCAAGCAGGTTGGAAACAAGAGGTGGTGTGTCATTCAGTTGAGCTGATTGCACTCAGCGAGCCCCCACTGAGTTGGAAAGATCTATTTTGACTGATGGTGTCTATGGGAATGATGTCTAATAGTAAGAAACTTTCCTCAATTTCAGTGGTACTAGATGTGGCAAGATCAATTATATAAAGTGTATGCAATTACATTTAAGGTGACAGTCTTTGATAAACTTATTGTAAGCTGTTGTCCAGCTGGGATGGATCGTACTGATTTAGTTCAAATCCACTTGACTGAATTTAATTGTCAAAGGTAAACCAATCATAAACCCAGCAGGTAATTCATACTCTGGCAACTCATTACAGTTTACAATACTATTGCTGAAGGACAATGTGAATGCATCAGTTGAGAAAGCCATGCATTGTGCTGGTTGAGGCAACTGTTAGGAAGCCTGTATAATAATCTGATGTTTGATCTAAAGGTTGATGTGCCACATATCCATCATTTTAAAAATATTTTGAAATGCACTGTGACTACAAATTGCTACAGGAACCCATATCACACCTCTTTGGGCAGAATATCTTTAGATTGTTCAGTTAAGTATCTTCATGGACAGAATCAACTTTCTACATACTTTATGTGCATTCTTGTTTGTCTTTTATGTTACATCTGATATAATTTATAGCCCACAAGTAGTTACTTCATCAAACACAGTGATATCTGATAAGACACAATGCATTCAATGCATCACCAATAAACTCCACAATACGACGACTGAAAATTAAGCCTAATTCCACTGCCACTGCAAACTACAGAACACCACTTAATACCTCATTCACTGTATAATACACTTGGCATTCAAAAATAAAGTTGGAAATAAAGATAATTATAACCACAAAGTATACTGGCATGCAGGACTGCATTTTCGCAAACTGGGAAATGGAAACTAAAAATGAAATACTGGTAAAATAAAGAACATCTTAATTAGCAGACAAAGAACTACATAAGGGACCATATTCAAATTATGTTGCCCTTCCATTTTTTAATGAAAAAATATTAATTCTATATAAATGCATGTAATGCTCTTTTCATGGACATATGGACATCAGATTTATGTAAGCATGTTTGTGTTCACAACATACTGACAGTGACACTCTAAGACACTGCAACCATATGTTCTGTTTTTTGCTTCATAAAGTCCAAAATCATCTTTCAATACAACACAATTGATTATGGTCCCCTTTACAGCTTCCTCAACAAGATCACGCCCACAAACGCCACAAACTCTACAACTGTTGCATTGTGGGTACCAGGATACAATCCCGAGTCAGCCATCCGCGCCAGGTCACTCTCGCTGTAATTAGTCTTCATGGATGTGTTAAAGGACCCATTATGTTGCGCACCCTCCGTCGGAGTGCTTGGTTTTCTAATGTGTGGAGGTTTCACTGGAATGCTAGGTTTTTCTGAGGTTGGGGGTTTAGACGTAGGGTTTAATACCACTTTTATGTTTTTTTGAGATCCTACACCTGAAATTTTGTGGAGGAAATACTTGAAAGTCAGTGGTAAAAATCTAGTAAATTAAGCAATATATGTAAAAATATACGTCTTGAGAAATGAAATGAAATAAAAAAATACATGTACTAAAAGGTTACACGACATGTACTTCACAGATTACACGGAAAATGAAGATAGCTGATAAGTGTAAAAAGATAAATGTTTGTATAAAGTTCTAAAAACATTTAAGTATAAAAAAGCTAACAATATATAGAACAGCATGTAACAAAAGTAAATTCACATACTATTGAAATAAACAATATATTTAAAGCAGGCATGAGATCACCTATTTTGGTAAATTGTCTAAAAAGAAATAGTTTACAGTTCTTCAAGATTATAAGTGCCTTAATTTTCTCAATGTTTGTTAATGTTTCAAGCTTAAAGATTCATATCCAGTGGAAGTGTTCATTAAACTGAAAACTTCTGTGAAAAAGACATTTGTGAGCCTATACATTCTAACACACAAAATTCTGCAAAAAGAGAGATAAAAACATCAGAGCATACATAAAGAAGCAGAGTTGTAAATCTATTGCTTTTGCACTGAAATGTGAAATTTTTAAAAAGCTGAAAAGCTTGGCATGTGGGTTTTGAACAGGGCTTCCTTGTAGCTGAGAACTTGCTGACAATATGTTTTATACAAGCTTCACATTTTATCAAGTACAGAGATGAATAAATGGAACATTTTTGCTATGTTTTAGTTGGATTCTTGGGAGTTTGGAATCTTTCTGATCATGGATGCAAATGCATCTTTTTACTTCACTCATAATTGCACTATGTACAGTAGGCACATTTAAGGTTGAATCCAGGTCTCGGGCATTTGAATAAGGCAATCATTTATAGAGATTAATGGTCTTTGTTTCACGTAAAAATAAAGTCACGATTCCAGTCAAGTTGAAAGGACAATCTCAACAGGTGACCTGATTCTAACTGCCTGACACAGACGGCAAATTTTAATATCACTGATGTGTGGTCCAAAGTTCGTACACCATCAGATAATCTTCCTATGCCGAGGTGGTAATCACCAGACTACCACCTGAGATTAATAATGCCAATTATAGTTATCCTAATTTGACTAGAAACACACCAATAATCCTAAATACGAAATGAATCCTAAAAAATCAATTGTTTTCCAGAAATTTTCTTTGCCCATTGTCAACTCGAGCAAACAATTAAATGTGAATTATGACAGAGCATCAAAAGAAGCCCAATACCAGAAGTCAGCTAGGTTATCAGCCACACAGTGAAAGGTGACTTACTGACAAAGTAAACCATGAAGATATTTTGTTATGACACTTTATTGCCAGTAGAAATTTATAGTCAATTCAGGGCAAGAAGCAATAGGGTTTCTTAAAGCTACAGACGAAAGATCAGCAGAACTACAAGAGAGGAACTATGGGTTATAACCACTAACATCAGCTGTATGTACAGAAGATAGTATCTGGAAAACAGAAAGTTAGAACTGGGTCAGTCTTAATTCAAAGCGCCATCTATAATACAAGCAATTCATCAGTACCATCCTCTGCCTCCATGCTCTTTCTCTGCATCCATGGCACAGGGGGCTTGACAGGCTTATGGTGGCTTGCTACAGTTGAAAATGGTTTCAAAGCCCCCTTTGGGGTCATTGGGGCTCCACCCATATGACCTATATTATTGCCTATGCCTCCTGATTTTGGCCCTATGTGAAGAGGGATTAAATAGAAATATTATGCATTTTTAAACATCACATTCTGTGAAAATCAGACAAGAGAAGATGTTCATAATGATGGGAGGTTTGCCAGAATATTATCTTAGTTTTAACTCCCATACGAAAGAACATATCAACTACTAAAGTGTAGTCCTAAAAACATAATTCTGATACCATACAGAACAAGTCATACACTGGAATATTTCAAACCCTGAAACAAAAAAGTCTTTACATAATTATAAAAGTATTCTGTTACTTCATGTTAACTGACGGATAAAAATGTCACTCAGGGCACATTCCCATAGACACCTATGTAGTCTATGTAGATCTATTTAACTTTGTGGGGAGTCTTGCTGAGTGCAATCAGCTTAACTTAATGACACGCTTCCTCCTGGTATTGAGTAGAATCTACAGAAAAGCTGGCGATTACATGAGTGCCTTGGAAACATGAGGAGGCATGTCATTCAATTAAGTTGTACTCAGTAAGAGTCACTGCAGAGTTGATGTATGCAGACAGCTGGTGTCTATGGGAAATCGGGTCTTAATTGCCACAAATACTGTATAACATAAGCACAAAACATAATTCATTTTGACAGATGAAATATGTCCCAATATATAAACTCCCATGTGTTCAGTGCTGTTAAGTGACACCAACTAGAGTATGTAGTGTCAAACTTGTGAACTTAACTGCAAATCAGCATGCAAGTTAGATCTATAGTTATCAAAGCAGCACTTTTGATTTTTACATGCATGCCATTTTTATTCAAGAGATGGGTCATTTTACTAATCAATTTTATATAGTACTATTATTCGATCCATTTCAACTGTCCACATAATACCAAATACTACTACTACTTGATTTCCAAAACACCTCTTTTCATCTATAATTTTACTATGTCCTAAAATTTATTCTATAAATATAAATATACAGCATAGACTTGTGACCTATATATCAAAAACAGGTCACAATGAACTATATATCAAAATCAGGTCACAATGACCTATATCCTACCTTTAGAATCAGCCAAAGCAGGAGCACTCCTGTCATTAGTAACAGTCTTCTTCAGTTTCTTGCCTTGCTGTATAGAGCTAAGCAGTGCACCTCTACCACCAGCACCACCGCCTCCGCCGCCTAATTTCATCTTTGGTCCCCCTGAAGGCGGGGGTGGGGGCCCTGGCGGGGGAGGGGGCCCCGGAGGGGGCGGCGGGGGAGGGGGCATCTTGGACTATAAAGGCACCCCTTTGATGCTTCTGAAAAGAAATAGATACAACACTTTAAGCACAGAATTGAAAGTGAACAATGAAAATTCCGAAAATGTAAACAACAAAGGCGGGCAACTTGACATGGAGGATGCAGACACAAAAATACAACACCCAAATATTGAGATTTCGAGATAAATCCGCAAGATTTTCATTAGATAATAAATATCTTTAAACTTAAATCTTGGGCTGGTAACACTGGATAATCCGTATGCCATGCCTTAAACTAGAAAAATGTTCACTGGTTAACTCAATCAACCAGCAGATCACTGATGAATCAACAAGGGTAGATTCTTCCAAGTTAAGGGAATAAACAACTCTTATTTCAATGAAAATAGAGTGAAAACTTGACATGCCCCTATAAATGACGGACTTGCACTGTGTCATGATAGGACAAAAAGGGAAACATCTTAGACAGAAGCTCCCATCTGAAGATCAATTTTCATCAGTGATGAGCAAAAAGCTTGTTCTCTTTTACCCAAAAAGCTTGTTCTGTTTTGTTAGGTCCATTAGTAGCTTTTAGGTGAAGAGACCAATGCCATTTAGAAGAACTTATACAAATAAACACCGCCACTGTTCTGTCTCCATGGAACTTTAACTGGTGACACATTAATTGCAGGGGAAAAAAAGAACTTGCACCCTCTCTCTCTATCTTTTTCTTTCTCTCTCTCTCTCTCTCTCTCACACACACACACACACACACACACACACACACACACACACACACACACACTCATCCCTCCCTTAAAAAAGAATGAAAATTCAGGACTATGAATTGCAGCCATACACTCACTTCCAAATAAAATCTTTGCTAAATAATCCTTATTTGTCTAGTGATAATCATTAAACTGTGCAAAATTCATACCAGAACAACCATTAACATGGTTCAAAAGTTTCTCACATCTCACCTTATATGCCTATAAAAAAAGCAATACTCGATTAAGCCCACAGCAGGCAAAATATGAAGAATCTTACAAAACTGAAGCTCTGAATCATGGGGTTAAGATGTACATAAGTGTGGTGCAAATGAAAGGAAATGACAACATCAGAAAATTCTGAGTACATTTTGAAGAGATCTGACATATGTATGAAGAGTAAAGTTCTTGTGCAGGCTGCGTTAACAATGTTTAAACCCTGACCTTTCTTGCATCATTTCCTCACAGTGACATAAAAATCTAAATCTGTCAAGAGTTAGTAAGAGGAAACAGGCAGTGCGTAGGAAGGAAGAGTGACCCATGTTTCAAAGCAAAATGGAAAAATTGTGACGATTCCTACTGGGTTAGGCTAGTATATTTCTAAGCATTCACCCCCCCCCCTCCAAAAAAAAAATTCATTTTTAATAAATATATACTATTAATTTGGCTTTTGTTAGTAAGTTGTATCATAACTAGCTGCTTAAAATGTGTCTATAGTTTCAGTGACTATGCAATAATTCCCAAAAAATGACTGCTCTACCTCATTATAATATATGCATGCTCACACATGCACATGTGCAAGCACGAGTCTACTCCCGAATGAGCAAGGTCCATTAAATCAAAATCATCACCAACGAAGTCATTCAGTTATGAACACAGAATGCATCTAATATTTACAGAGTTTCTAGCTACATGTTACATATATATGCAACAATCTCAATGCTAATTAATTATACAGTATAAAGACATTGCAGGGATTGATAAAGTATTCATGAACTATAAGAAACAGTTTCAATATTGCTGTGGTATGGTCTGAGTCACATTGAAACCATGAAGCTTCCTAATTCTACTTTCTATTTCCCTTCATCCTTTTTCTCTACTAATTCTACAAGGTTATAAATTTTTTCTGTCTGTCTGTCAGATTTTCTATTTGTTTGATGCATGTGTGAGAGAGAGAGTTAAAGCTCCACTGTAACATAGGTTATCTGATCACTTGGGTATAACTCTCTATCATTCCATTGTTTCATGACATCTATAATTTACTTAATTAATAAAATTTAATCCACTGGACTTAGCCAAGATGGAGGATCAGGCCTACCCAACTACCAGACTCGGCACCTAAGATCCTGAATTCACCGGTAGATCAGACCACACTACCCGTTTTCAAGGTGTGTGTCAGATCGCATTACACAGTATCCTGAACAAATTTTGAGTGGTGATGCAATGCATTTCAACCCCGCTGAGAATCGTCACTATCGCATCGCATACTAGGCAAGAGCGGTGTCGCGTCTGATACTGTGTAATGCGATCTGACACACACCTTGAAAACGGGTAGTGTGGTCTGATCTACCGGTGAATTCAGCATCCTTAGGTGCAGAGTCTGGTAGTTGGGTAGGCCTGAGGATATAGCATTTGATCACATGGTCTTTTTCTTTCTGTATACTAGTACAGTACTTATACTAGTATAGATCAAGAAGTAAAAGTTTAGTTCTCTTCTTATATACTGCAACACTGATGCTTCTTAGCATGGTTTACGGACGCCTGGTCATTTCTGGCCCTGANTCCTGAATTCACCGGTAGATCAGACCACACTACCCGTTTTCAAGGTGTGTGTCAGATCGCATTACACAGTATCCTGAACAAATTTTGAGTGGTGATGCAATGCATTTCAACCCCGCTGAGAATCGTCACTATCGCATCGCATACTAGGCAAGAGCGGTGTCGCGTCTGATACTGTGTAATGCGATCTGACACACACCTTGAAAACGGGTAGTGTGGTCTGATCTACCGGTGAATTCAGCATCCTTAGGTGCAGAGTCTGGTAGTTGGGTAGGCCTGAGGATATAGCATTTGATCACATGGTCTTTTTCTTTCTGTATACTAGTACAGTACTTATACTAGTATAGATCAAGAAGTAAAAGTTTAGTTCTCTTCTTATATACTGCAACACTGATGCTTCTTAGCATGGTTTACGGACGCCTGGTCATTTCTGGCCCTGATATAATCTGAGTGTTGATGCTCTCGCTTCCCTGGGGAGAATACAGCCCAGTATGCCATATGAGGCATGGAAGGCTAGCAAACAACCAATGTCTCTTTCTCTGTAAGACCAGGAGCTTCACTCCTGCTTCAACCCTTGGTGTTGAGTGCCGAGCAGGTAAAAATTATATAAGAGGCTGTGGTAGCGCTAACACTCGCCAATTTAGTCAAATGCTAAGACTGACATGAACTGGCTGAACAAAAAGGGCTTGATTTGACTTGTTTTAGTCAAATTATAACCATTTGGATAACAAATTGACAAAAAAAAGTGGTGATTTGGCTAAGTGAAAAAAATTGCTACCGCTATCCCAGGGAGAGGGGGCTGAACCCACATCCTCCCCTTCTGAAGGGGGACACTCTGACCACAAGGCCATCCGATCAGTTCTATAACAAGAACTACATGATTAACCTTCATGTAATGAAGAGATGTTTCCGTGTATGTGGTGGTTTCATTTCCATATCTGAAAGTAACTGACTAACTTTTTTATTCAAATATTTGATCAGTGTTATTAGACAGCATTCTGCGCAAGACTCTTTCCAAGATAGACCTATCAGTAAAAGTTTCGAAATTCCACATACCAAATTTACAAGACTGACAACTACACATCTATGTCTATTACATGCAAGGATTTTTTATTAACTGTACCATTTTTGCTTATTTTTCCCAACTAACAACTGTTACAGAATTTTGAGAATTTAAAATGAGTCAGCCATGTATCAATCTTAATACTTCTCCCAGCTATAATTCTCAAACAAAAAATTATGTCCCAAACAACATACTATGACCATTTTCACTAAGAATTCATCAGCAACAAAATATTACAGTGTTTTTCCCCTACATCTCCATTAGAAACATGGAGATTAACTTCACAAATACATTGTTATGGCATTTGTTAGGTACCACCTGCATTGTCATCTGGATGTTGTGGATTGATTGTAAAGATTTTAAACCTAATACATTTCAGCATTATCAGTACATGGTACTTAACCTAACAACAGTCTGACTTCATCCTAAACTGGTTTATTTGCCAAGCACTCATTGGCTACCAAGTGACTCTAAAGAGACCCAGAAGTGGAATTATACAATGCAAGAGTTTGTAATCTCGGTGATACAGGTGTAGATATAATATATCATCAGGAATCGACATTTATAAATACATTTCATTTTTGAGGGAGAGGCCTCAATGATGTGTTATTTAATCTAGTTATTTTGTTGACAAATTTTCGTGATGACTAAAATGAATCAATTATCTTAAGTTTATCAATCTGATGTTGAGAAAATAATGATTTATAAATAATGTTTTCAAGAAATGGAGGTACAAGCCATAGGTTAACTAATTGTGGAATCAATATCAAACATCTAATTAAGTATAATAATAAATACAACCATTTGCCAAAAAGTAATTTACTGTGGAATTAGTTGCCAGCTTTTCTGTGATTCAATTTCCTTGAATAAATTGCCCAAAGACACACACAGTGTGTTTTAACACATGCTTTGAACTAAATTATTTTTTCTTATGCACTGATGATGCATGTTTAGTCTGACGCGGATAGAACAAAAAAATTACAATACATATGTCCTCATTATCTTCATATTCATGGTGACTATGACAATGGAAGAAAGACCAATTTCAACAGAAAAGATGTATACATTTTAAGCTAATGCAACCAACTTGGTCTAGTTTATCAATATTATAATTATGTCTGAATGGATAACCAGCTGCAAGCATATGAAGAATCAATACTCTAATTAGCAAGCTGTATTAGCATCACAAGATACCAGTGGCTATTATAAGCTAATGGAGTCATCTTGGGAAGTAAAACACTGTGATGTTTATTTATGCCAATGCAAATTAAAAGTTGAGAGCAGTACATGTAACCTGACCTGTGAAGAGCATTGAGTACCACTTCTGCAAGACTGTACTTTTGTGAGAGTCTTGAGTAGCAGTGTGTGTGTGTGTGTGTGTGTGTGTGTGCTCTTGTGCACGCATTCTAACCGAGGACACACA